CCGTAGGGTGCAGCGGCGGGCCGGTAGGTGCAGCGGCGGGGCCGTCAGGTGAAGCGGCGGGCCGCTGGGTGCAGCGGCGGGCCGGCAGGTGAAGCGGCGGGCCGCTGGGTGCAGCGGCGGGCCGTAGGGTGCAGCGGCGGGCCGGCAGGCGCAGCGGCGGGGCCGTCAGGTGAGGCGGCGGGCCGTAGGGTGCAGCGGCGGGCTGTAGGGTGCAGCGGCGGGCCGGCAGGTGCAGCGGCGGGGCCGTCAGGTGCAGCGGCGGGCCGGCAGGGCCGCGTAAGAGCCGGCGGCGGGGCCGCGTCAGTGGAGGCGGCGGGGCCGCGTCAAGCAGGCGGCGGGGCCGCGACGTAGCGGGCGGCAGGGCCGCGTCTGAGCCGGCGGCGGGGCCGCGTCAGTGGAGGCGGCGGGGCCGCGTCAAGCAGGCGGCGGGGCCGCGATCAGGAGGGGCAGCGGGGCCGCGAGGGAAATGGCGACCCGAGGGGTCGCTAAAAAAAATGCGCGCCTCGGGGCGCGCTTCGGTGGGCCCTAAAAAAACGGTCCTTAGGAAGGACCCGCTCTATACCATGTGAAACAAGTGAACAGGAATGAAATGACTAAGGAAAGATTGGGTACAAATACAACCCTAGAAACCCTGTACCCCATATGTGCTACCCCACTATAGCCTACAGCAACTATGTCATATAAATCTGACAAGTTGCTGCGGGCAACACATGTGCTCGTCCGGACGCTTCGTACAACGCGAACACCGACTCCAACGAGAAGTTGTCATCACAGTCGCCAACAATCAAAACCTGCGCACACGACGACAAGGAGTGGTACAGCTTCAGTCAAGAGAAACAAATGTCATACTGCACATGTCAAGGGTACTCATCGCTGAAGGACTCGGTTACAACTTACTGAGTGTTAGCCAGTTGATGGCGAAGGGGATTCACCTGGAAGCCGACAGCACCACCCAAGAGTTCAAGCTATACCACGGGAGAGGCGGTCTCTACATCGGGAAAGCAGTATTGAAGAACAACGTCTTCGTCCTCGACTTCGTTCCTGACCTGGGCACTGCAGACAGCGACGCCATCGTGAATTTTACTGACTGGACACACCCTCCAGATCTCGACCCCGACTTCAGCCCGGGAGGTTTTTGGTACTCCCACACTATCCCTGAAGCAGAACGAACACGAGCGTTAGCGACGATTAAACAAACAACAGAAGTAGAGACAACATCGGCAGCAGCAACAACATCGGCAGCAGCAACAACATCGGCAGCAGCAGCAACAACATCGGGAGCAGCGACAACATCAGCAGCAGCAGGAACAACGACACCAGTCACAGTCGACGAAGCACCACCAACACCCGCACAACAGCTAAATCCGACTCAACGCGAAGTCCACCGAAGCGCCAACTTCGTCGCCAGTTTTTACTCCAACTCCGACGCATACCAACGTTCACCCAGACACCGCGCCTCTGAAGAGATCTGGCACGCACGCACAGGACATCCAAGCAACACGGTTTTAAATAACACAATAAGAGCAGGAGTTCTTGACAAAGACTCTCTACTTCTACCCGACGGCAGAGAACTCCAAAAGGCACGAGGGACTTGCCTTACATGCCCCGAAGCTGACTTACCTCATCGACCATTCGCTCCACATCACAACCCGAGCGCACCAGCGTACGCACCACTTGAAAAGGTTTACAGCGACATCCTCTACAATCGCGAACCAGGACAAGTCAACTACAACTACACCATCATCTTCATCGACGCCGCCACTCGATACGTCTGGCATCGTAACCTACCCAGCCGCGACATGGCGCTCGCAGCATTCGCCGCCTGGCTACCGATAGCAGAGAGAGAGAGTCTGGAACGCAACTGAAAAGCTTCCAGTCAGACGGAGGTGGCGAGTACACCTCTCAGCGCTTCAAGCAGTTCCTGGCGGAAAGGGGGATCAAGCAACTCCTCTCCCTTCCCTACGCACATCAGCAGCAAGGTGTTGCAGAAAGAATGAACAGGACCCTGCAGAACAGCATGCGCAAACTGTTACGTGGCATGCGGCTACCCAACCACCAGTGGCCAGCAGCAATGGACCATGCTGTCATGCTGCACAACTTGTTGTCGTCGTCGTCACTCCCGAACAACGCATCACCGCATCTGCTGTGGACAGGGAAGCAGGGCAGCACAAAAATGTTACGAGTTTTCGGGTGCATGGTACAGTACAGACCCCCAGAAGCACGAGCGGGAAGATTTTCACAACGGGCACAGTGGGGACTACACCTCGGCATCGAGAAAAATTACAACGCGTGGAGAATCTTCGACGTCCACACAAAAGAAACAGTAGCAGCACGTGATGTGATCTTCTACGAACGACTCACCCTTCAAACGTACCTCGCCAAATTGCACGAGAATCGGGACCTCACCAGTGGCTTTCGTGGTGACCGAGCCTTCGCGTCAGCAGCGGATGAAGCAGACTGGGATGAGCAGAACGTCGACAACGCATCGGAGGAAGCCGGACCTCTTCCGTACTGCTCCGTCGACGTGCCCATGGACGAGGAAAATCCTCGCGACAGTAACAACGCCGAAGTCTTCTACCATTTCGCCGACAATGGTTACGTAACACCTGCGACAGTCAACACCAACGAAGCAGAAAGGGTAGGGCCAAATTTCATACCCGACCCAGAAATGGGAGACGAAGCAGCTTATCCCGAGGATCCAGAACTCCCTCGATACTCACAGACTGGACTGCAAATCCTTGGTCTCGTCACCGCAGTCCATGGCGCCGCCATTCCTAAGGAGCCTGCGACGGTTCAACAGGCTCTGGAGGGGGAACATAGGGAGAAATGGCGTGAAGCCATGGACAAAGAGCTGAAGGCACTGGAGGAGCGCAACACCTGGAAAATCGTTCCCATCAGCGTAGCACAAAACAAAACTATCCTTACCGGGAAGTGGGTCTTCCGTGTGAAGACGAAAGCTGACGGCACCATCGACAAATTCAAAGCTCGCTGGGTCGTACGCGGCTTTGACCAGGAGCACGGAAGAGATTACACCGAAACCTTCGCTCCGGTCAGCCGTCACACCTCACTCCGAATCCTCATCGCCGTCGCCGCCATGAAGAAAAAGAAACTGCGACAAATCGACGTCGCAAACACATTTCTCTACGCACCTGTGGATGCAGAAATCTTCGTCGAGCTCCCGCACGGCTCCCACGGCGAACCCAACCGAGTCTGTCAACTGCTTAAGTCGCTCTACGGGATCAAGCAGGCACCGCGACTGTGGCAGCAGTACCTACACGCCCGCCTCATTCGCATCGGTTTCAAACAACTCCCGCACGACCAGGGCATGTATCGCCTCACAAAGGGAAGTGACTACGTTCTCCTAATCGTCTACGTGGACGATCTCCTCTACATTGGGTCAACCGACGGCATCGCCACGTGGTTCGAAGGGGAGCTTCAGAAAGACCTCACGCTCACGGTCTCTTCTACCGTTACGCAGTACCTCGGGCTCAACATCCGCGAGGAAGAAAACGCAATCTATCTAAGCGCCGAGAAGTACGCCGACACCATCGCGAAACGCTTCAGCCTCACACCAAGCGCCATCTCCACGCCTTACCGCTACACGTCAGGAACCGAAAAGGGACGATCTACCCTACTCAAGCCCGCCGGCATACGCGACTATCAGAAGAAGCTCGGATGTCTTCTCTTCGCAGCAGTCACATGCCGTCCTGACTTATCCTACTCCGCGAGCCAGCTCGCCACCTATCTCAAGAAGCCTGAAGCAGAGCATCTGGCGGAACTCGATCGCGCTCTCCACTATTTCGTCAGCACCGCGACGATCGGATTAACTTATCACAAAAACGCAACTACACCGACCAAGCTAATCGGCTACGTCGACGCCGATCACGCCGGCGACACCGATAACAGGCGCTCACGCACCGGCTATGTCTACCGCCTCGAGCCTATCGGTCCTATCTCCTGGCAGTCGAGTAAGCAGGAGTTAATCGCACTGTCTTCAGCTGAAGCAGAATATATTGCACTCTGCTCAGCCACCAAGGAGGGACTTTACCTTCGCGAACTGTTGGAAGAAGCGAAGTTAGCCGAGTTACCCAGCTTCACCGTGTTCTGCGACAACCAGTTAGCAATTCGCATCGCCAACAAGAACGGCTTCGCAAACAGGACGAAACACATCGCCCTGCGCTATTTCTTCGTGAAGGACGAGATCGAAAAGGGGAAACTTGATCTGTCATACTGTCCCACGTCTGAGATGGCAGCCGATTACTTGACCAAGAAGCTCGGAAAGCAGAAGTTCGAATACTGCATGCTGCTGACTGGACAAAGCCACGTCACCTGCGGCGACACTCCAGAAGCGAAGGGGAGTGTTGGAAACAATAAGTCTTAGTGCGCTTCTGTCGTGTCAAAACCCAAGACACTAGCGAAGCAGTCCGAATCGAAGCATCGAGTCAAACCTCGGAGGTTAGGGTAACCGCCTGGAGGTTACGGGAAAGTCAAAGGTCAGCGACCTTTTTACAGCGCGACAGTTAAGGACACACAACTGACTCGTTACAGAGCAGTTGCCCGAGTCGCACTGTATCGAATCGCAACAGCAAATACAGTTATCTATCCATTCGTATTCCCTGTACTCTTATATAAAACCTTGTATTTGCTTGTTTAATTCAATCCACTTTGCTCTCACACACTAGTGCAAGGTCGGTTCACAAACTTCATTAAACGCTTCCGCTATTACAAATATCCTACCCAGAGTTTTCCTCTGCAAAGATCCTTAAGGGCTTTCTCAGCCCAACACCAAGTTCTCAAATATTTACTACACCGGTGAATACAGGTGGCTGCTCGGCTACTTCCAGCATGTTCTGATTGACAATAGCATACCAAACCATAAAAAATGTGACAACGGACACGGGGACGATGCAATCGAGTTCTTCGGTTTGAGGAGCATCAGAGTGATTGTGCCCAGCAGGCTCGGGCAGCTCATCGACTCAACAACCGGTTCTTTCAATAACTCAAGCAGGAGGGGGGTCAATCGCCTTCTTCGGTTCAAGCCGCATGAGAGTGATCGTGCCCAGGAGATACTCAGGAAGCTCGTCTGCAGCTTGGGCCTGGAAGGGGGATCGTAGTGAAGGAAGAAAGGAGTGGGAGGAGTAGATTGAGTCACGTAAGAAAGAGCGTGAAGAGCCTGGGGTGAGGCGCATAGGAGTGATTGTGCCGAAAAGATACTTGGGCAACTCGTTTGCTGCATAAGCCTGAGACGGAGGGAAATGCAGGCAGAAGAGGGAGGGGAAGATTAAGAGGAGAGCCAAGGAGGGAAGGGAGGGCACGAGTTACAACAAATGCGGAGGATTGAGGCGAAAAGGTGACCCAGGCAACTGGTTTGCAGCTTGGGCCTGGAAGAAGAAGAAAGATGGATAGGATAGGAAGATAACAGGTAGGACGAGAACAGGAGAAGGCACAACAAGATAGGCCTTCTCTTGTTGCGCCTTCTCCTGTTCACAACAAGACACAACACAAGAAAATTCACCTCAATGAGAAGTGCCAGGTCCACGACAAGCGATGTAACGTAACGAAGCCGAGCACAAGGCCGCTGTTGCGGTAGTGCCAAGGCACGGCATGAAGAGCTCACCTCGATGAGAAGTGCCAGGTCCACGACAAGCGACGTGACGTAGCTGAGCACGAGGCCGATGACGCTGCGAGCCACTGAGGACGACCCCACGTCCACGTCCATCTGGTTGAGTGCGGTTCGGTTTGATGGGGTTGAAAGGGGTTGGAAAGAGTTAGAGAGGCACAGGGGCCTTGGGTCGAAAGGAGCAACAAGAAGAGAAGGGGCCCTGGCCCTTCACATGCACGTTTAGCTGGCAGATAGACATGGGCGACTCAAAAATCGAGTCGAGTAAAATTCCCTACGTCCAGATAGTAGGTCGATTTTTGAGTCGACTCAAAAATCGACTTACTACACAAGGAGGGCCCTTGGCCCTTCACATGCTGGTTTAGATGGCAGATAGACATGAGCGAAACACGAGTCGAGTAAAACTCCCTACCTCCAGGTAGTTCTCCCCCTTGTAGTAGCTGCAAGTCAGAGCCTTGCCCACCTTTCATGTCTCCACACATATTCCCTACAACCAGCGTCGCTGTTTCAACCACCAACACCCATCTTCCCTACCTCCAGGTAGTTCTCCCCCTTGTAGTAGCTGCAAGTCAGTGCCTTGCCATGCATGAGTCTTACCTCTCCACCTCCATCCTTCTTCCCGTCCCTACCTCCAAGTAGTTCTCCCCCTTGAAATAGCTGCAGGTGAGTGCCTTCCCCAGAATAGCAGCTTTTGTTCCAACTGCCCGTTTCACTGCCCAGAAGCCCTGCGGTCAGAACGGCAGTCGGAAACGGTGGTACAAAGGTAGTAGGAGAAATAAGTGAGGGTGATAAGGAGGAAGTGAGAGGGGTGTGGGTGGGTTGAATTCGATTGAACGAGTCAAAAGCCCTGCAGTCAGAACGATTGGCAAGGAAGGAACAAGTGGCAGGAGAAGTAGAGTGGTCGCCAGCGAAGCTGCCCCACACACACACCCACGCACCACGCCCGCCCGCCCGCCCGTCTGCCCGCACGCACACACGCACGCACACACGCACGCACACACACCCACACACACACACACACACACACCCACACACACACACACACACACACACACACACACACACACACCTCCTCAATGCGCGGAATGAGCCTGAAGCGGCTGTTCCTAAACGACTCGTCCTCAGCGTTGACAAACCTCCCCACCCCAGCAGCGAGTGGGGCTTGACGGGCTTGTTCAAGATGACACACAGTAGGTGACGAGCACATGCCTACGCCACACACATACGCCCTAGCCACACACATACGCCCTAGCCACACACATACGCCCTAGCCACACACATACGCCCTAGCCACACACATACGCCCTAGCCACACACATACCCACCTCCTCAATGCGCGGAATGAGCTTGAAGCGGCTGTTTCTGAACGAGTCATCCTCAGCGTTCACAAACCTCCCCAGCAGCGAGTGGTGCTTGACAGGCGTGTTCAATATGCCTTAGACACACACACACACACACACACACACACACACACACACACACACACACACACACACACATACACACACACACACACACACACACACACACCCATACACACCCATACTTAGCCACACACAGACCCACCTCCTCGATGCGCGGAATGAGCTTGAAGCGGCTGTTCCGGAACGAGTCATCCTCCGCGTTCACAAACCTCCCCAGCAAAGAATCTTTCTTGACAGGGCGGTCGGCAGCAAAGTAAGCGACACACGAGTAGTTGGGCTTGCCGGGCACTTGCAGGTTGAGCACAAATACGAATGGCAGCTTCTTCCCCGCCTCCGACTGGGAGCGGAGGGAGGGAATGCGGAGGGAGGGAATGGGGAAGGGATGTGGATTTATAAGTCGGCTTAACAATGGGGGATATGGAAAGGGAGATGGTGTATGGGAAGAGACTGGAATGGACAGATGGCTGACGTTCCAATGTAAAGAATGCACAATAAAGGAGGACAAAAAAGGAGATACAGTTGCATACCAGATATACAAAAAAGGATGTATCCACTTCACTGGCTTGAATTGAACCACTCCAATACCAGCTGCATTTGAGTCGACTCAAAAGCCCACTCCAATACCAGCTGCATTTGAGTCGACTCAAAAGCCCACTCCAATACCAGCTGCATTTGAGTCGACTCAAAAGCCCACTCCAATACCAGCTGCATTTGAGTCGACTCAAAAGCCCACTCCAATACCAGCTGAATTTGAGTCGACTCAAAAGCCCACTCCAATACCAGCTGCATTTGAGTCGACTCAAAAGCCCACTCCAATACCAGCTGCATTTGAGTCGACTCAAAAGCCCACTCCAATACCAGCTGCATTTGAGTCAACTCAAAAGCCCACTCCAATACCAGCTGCATCCTCCGTTCCCTCCCTCCCACTCCTTACCTCCTCCCTTTTGTCCTCCCTTTCATCTTCCCTTCCTCTCTCTCCTTCCTACTCTCTCACATCCTCACCCTCACATCCCCCCAAAGCCCCTCACATACCCTCACTTGTCAGCACATTTTCTCACTTCTCCTCACATCCACTCACATCTCTGGACACCCTCTTACATCGCACCGCCTCACCTGCATCACAGATCCAGGCCGTGATGCCACATTGTCAATGCGGGAATCCACGAGTAGCGAGGGTGTTTTTGAGACGTCTCAAAAACACCCTCGCTACACGTGGCCGTGATGCCACATTGTCAATGCGGGAATCCGACTTGGACCAGTCAGTCCACTGTTGCTTCCCCTCCTTTCCATCCCTCTCTAACCAATCTTCCCCTTCTCCTTCTCTTTCCCGCTCCCTTTCTCCCCCCCTCACACCCCCTCACCTGCATGACAGACCCGGGTCGTGCTGCCACATTGTCAATGCGCGAATCCGACTTGAACCAGTCCACAGCCAGCAGCGAGAGCAGCGGCTGGGCTGCTGGGATCTGCAGAGGAAAGAAGACGGGCGGCGAGAGGGCGAGGAAAGAAGGATGAGACAGAGAGAGAGAGAAAACCCCCACTTGGACCCCTTGTGGACCAGGCTTTTGAGTCGACTCAAAAACCCCCACTTGGACCCCTTGTGGACCAGGCGGGTGGCGAGTAGCATGCTTGCCTCGTCATCAATCTTGCATGCTTGTATGCATAGTGGTTATTAATACAACGGACCATTCGAGAGAGAGAATTAGAATGGGTTGGTTGGAATACAGCCAGTCCACAGCTAGGAGCAAGAGGGGCGGCTGTGCTGCTGTGAATTGAGGAAGGAAGGCGGAAGAGGGAGAGAGTGAGGAGGACGAGAAAGAGAACGAGAAGGGCGGAGGGAGGGGTGAGGAAAAGGAACAGGGCCCACCTTGATCCCCTCAGAGAGGCACGTGGTACCGCGCCTTTTGAGGCACGCCTTCAAAGTCACAATCTTGCACCAGAGGGAGGAACCAAGCTCACATTGCTGTGGACGTACCTGCCAGCAGGTCTGCTGCTGCTGGGGCTGGCTTCTGCTCTCAGTGCTACAGAAGGCAGGTCAGGGGAAAGGGAAGCTTCCCGTACCTTGATGCCATGCCATCAGACAGGTAAGTCGCCCTGCGCACACAGAAGTTGTTAGCAGCGGCCTGCTTCTACGCATGGGCGTCCTCGGGGTCTACTCCCAGCGGCAGGGATGCCTGCGCTCTCATCTTCTTCCCCACTGCCAGCAGGTCTGCTACTGCTACTGCTGCTGGTGGTGCTACTACTGCTGCTGCTCCTGCTGCTGCTGGAGAAAGTTAGGGAAACGTATCCTGCACTCACCTTAATCCCATCAGAGAGGTAGGTGGAGCCGCGCACACAGAAGTTGTCAGCAGTGGCCTGCTTCCACGCATGGGCGTCCTTGGGACCACTCCCAGCGGCAGGGATGCCTGCGCCCTCATCTTCTCCCCCACCGCTGCCAGGGAAGGGGCTGGCTCCTGCTCTCTCAGTGCTCTCAGTGCTCTCAGTGCTCTCAGTGCTCTCAGTGCTCAGAGTGCTACAGAGGGAAGGTCAGGGAAATGGAAGCTGCCCGTACCTTGATGCCGTCAGAAAGATAGGTCGCCCCGCGCACACAGAAATTATCGGAAACAGCCTGCTTCCACGCATGGGCGCCCTTGGGATCCACTCCCAGCGGAAGAGACGCCTGCGCGCGCAGCTTCTCCCCTTGTGCTCTCAGTGCTCTCAGTGCTCGCAGTGCTCTCAGTGCGCGCAGTGCTCTCAGTGCGCGCAGTGCGCTCACCTTGATGCCATCAGACAGATACGTAGCCCCGCACTTGGGGTCTACTCACAAAAGTTATCCGAAACAGCCTGCTTCCACGCATGGGCGCCCTCGGGGTCTACTCCCAGCGGCAGGGACGCCTGCGCCCGCATCTTCTCCCCCACTGATAGCAGGTGTGTGGGTGATGTGCTCGCTGGCGCTGCTGCTGCTGCTGCTGCTGGCGCTGCTTTTGCAGTGAGGTGTATTTTGAGGCGCCTCAAAATACACCTCACTGCACCTGTATTTTGAGGCGCCTCAAAATACACCTCACTGCACCTGTATTTTGGGGCGCCTCAAAATACACCTCACTGCTAGCAGGTGTGTGGGTGATGTGCTCGCTGGCGCTGCTGCTGCTGCTGCTGCTGGCGCTGCTTTTGCAGTGAGCTGTATTTTGAGGCGCCTCAAAATACACCTCACTGCACCTGTATTTTGAGGCGCCTCAAAATACACCTCACCTCACTGCACCTGTATTTTGAGGCCCCTCAAAATACACCTCACTGCTAGCAGGTGTGTGGGTGATGTGCTCGCTGGCGCTGCTGCTGCTGCTGCTGCTGCTGCTGCTGCTGCTGCTGCTGCTGCTGCTGCTGCTGCTGCTGCTGCTGCTGCTGCTGCTGCTGCTGCTGCTGCTGCTGCTGCTGCTGCTGCTGCTGCTGCTGCTGCTGCTGGCGCTGCTTTTGCTGGGGAAAGTCAGGGGACGGAAGCCTGAACTCACTCACCTTGATGCCATCGGAGAGGTAGGTCGCCCCGCGCACACAGAAGTTGTCTGAAACAGCTTGCTTCCACACATGGGCGACCTTGGGATCCACCCCCAGCGGCAGCGATGCCTGCGCCCGCAGCTTCTCCCCCACCGCCAGCAGGTCTGCCTGTGCTGCCTCTGCTGCTGGTGCTGCTGCTGCTCACCTTGATGCCATCGGACAGGTAGGTGGCCCCTCTGACACAGAAGTTATCGGAAACTGCCTGCTTCCACGCATGGGCGTCCTTGGGGTCAACTCCCAGCGGCAGGGACGCCTGCGCGCGCAGCTTCTCCCCCACCGCGAGCAGGTCGGTGGGTGTGGCGTCTACTTGCAGCTCCCTGCGCACCTCCCAGCGCTCCTTGTCCGCCTCCTCCTCCTCCACCAGGAACACTGTTGACGCAGAAGGCAGGGGGCAGAAAAAAAAAAAGGAGGGGGACAGGGAGAGGGATGGGGGGACGGAGAGGGAGTGAGGGATGGAGAGGGGTAGGGAAAGGTGGGAGCCCTCCCAACCTACTTGAGCCCTTTTGGTACAGCGCATATACCCCCCACCCACATCCATTCCTGCAGCAGCTGACATGCCGTGGAGAGACTCACAAGATTGCACACACCCTCAGTCAAAGACTTACAGCATCCCACATCCCGTCTAAAGACTCAAAGAACCGCAGGCACAAGCCAAACTGCACCATCCACTTGGAGCCGTCCCTTTATACACAGCACACAAATCGATATCCCCCACCCCCATAGACAGTCGTTCCTGCAGCAGCTCACACCACACCCCGTCAAGCAACCCACACCCCATTGCCTCACAGCAACCCACACCCCATTGCCTCACAGCAACCCACACCCCATTGCCTCACAGCAACCCACACCCCATTGCCTCACAGCAACCCAGGTCACCGGATCGCAAACCCCATCAAGTGACTCACGGGATCGCAGGCGGAAGCCAAACTGCACCATCCACTTGAGCCCCTGCCAGCGCGCCTTGGCTGACACCTTTTCCTGCCATGGGGGAGGGGCGGATAAGGGACACACAGTGAGGGGAGGGAGAGAGTGGGAGAGGGAATGTGGACGGGGGAGGGGACTGCGGAGCTTAAACTGCACCATCCACTTGAGCCCCTGCCAGCGCACCCTGGGGATCGGAGAGAGGGAGGGGAGCAAGGGTGAGGGGGATTACAGGGATACGGGGAGTAGACAGCTTTTTGTACCTTCTCCTGCCCACTCTCGATTTGTACTCGTTATAAGCAACAGCACACACCTTAGCGGGCTCGGCCTCCTCCCCTTCGGCATCAAAGCACTGGTCTTCAAGCAACACTGTCCTCTCCATCAGGCTGGTAACCGCCTCTCAAGTTCTCCACTCATACCCCCTCTCATCCTCTCCTCTTGTACTCATCGTAAGCAGAACTCGGTGTATTGGGGTGTCCAGCGCGTACATTTACCGTTCATAAATCCCTTTAGTTACCACATTTTGAGTTGTAACACTGCATTTTTCAGAAAGTGTGGGCACGCCCGACTGTTGCACACGAGAAGGTACGCCAGCTGCACGTACCTCGAGTCGTGTGACTCACTTAACAGCTTACAGCATGCGCGCGAACTCGGGTACAGTATCGCGTCCAACTAGCTACAGTAAGTTCCCTCTGTATTGCTCGCATGATTTTGTCAGTGCCGCTTGATACTCGCCGAAACCACCTGCGCACTGGCGAAAATGTCAACCCCAGTGTCACTCTTCACGAGGGAGCCGGTTACCCTGGTTTCCAGAGTGTATTGGCACTGTTGAAGTTTGTGTGGATGGGAATGTGTCCGCGCGCTAGAAATTCGAGGAACTGTGGACTCGGCTCAAAGAGCATTCGTTTTCAGGTACAGGGATCACTTTTGTACCCCGACACGTGTGTGGGCACTAAAATTCCCAAAATGAACGCGCTGGACACCCCCTAAGCGACAACACGCATCTTAGTAGGTTCAGCCTCCTCCCCTTCGGCATCAAAGAAGTGGTCTCAAGAGACTCAGTCCTCTCCACCAGACTAGCAAGTTGGCAACCACCTCTCACTCGATCCTCTGCTACGCCCTCTCGTCCTCTCCACTTGTACTCACAATAAGAAACTCGTCATAAGCAAACAACACACACCTTAGCGGGTTCCGCCTCCCCCCCTTCGGCATCAACGAACTGGTCTTCAAGGCTCTCAGTCCTCTCCATCAGGCTAGCGACCACCTCTAACCTGCTCCTCTGACACCCCCTTTTCTCCTCTCATCTCGTACTCATTACAGCAGAACTCGTTATAAGGAGACAACACGCACCTTAGCGGGTTCAGCCTCTTCCCCTTCGGCATCAAAGAACTGGTCCTCAAGGCTCTCAGTCCTCTCCATCAGGCTAGCGACCACCTCCTCGGTATTCCTCTCCACATGCTCCTCCATGGCCGGCTGTGCTGCAAAGTACTCCCTCAGTCCTGGGAGAGGGGAAATAAAGAGAATGAGAAAAAGAGTTAGTAGAAGGAGAGCAACCACCTCCTCTGTGTTCCTCTCCAGAAGCTCCACCATAGCCTTTGCTGCGTTGCAAGGAACTCCTCAGGCCTGGGAGGGAGATGGATAGGGTAGGGGGAGGGTAAGGAGGTGGGGAGGTTGAGTGCGGTGCTCCTTTTTTGTGAGGAGGTGGGAGGTGTGTGGGGGATGGTTGAGAGGAGAAAGGATGAGGCAGGTACGAGAGAGAGGAGACAAAGAGATTGAGTGGGGAAGGACAGCAATCTCATGGTTAAGTGCGGTTAAGCACGGTTCAGTGGGCACATCACGTTTCTTCTGCACTTGGCAGTGCGACATTTTCAGCACATCACAGTTTCCTGCACCACTTTAGGCTGCTCTAAACCACTCTCCCCCTCCCTCCCCCCTTCCACCCCATACCTGCAATGCGTGCGGGAACGAATTCGCAAACTACTGAAACGCCTGTGCATTCATCCCCTCCTCCTCCACCTCCCAACCTGTGCGAGCAGCACTCTGCATCACTCTCAACCGCTTCTGCATACCTGCAACGCGGGCACAGCGATGCGTACGGGAACGAATTCGCAAACTCCTCAAACGCTACATGCACTGCACCACCGGCCCTTCCGCCTTCCCACCTCAAACACGGGAAGCAGCACGCTGCACCACCCTTCACCACTCTACACCACTCTACCTCCTCCCCATACCTGCAATGCGGCACAGCGAGGCGTACGGGAATGAGTCCGCAAACTCCTCAAACGCCACATGCCCGTCCGCCTCCTCCTCCACCTCCACTAATCCCCCACCTCCCACCCCCCCTGCTCCTCCCACCCCTCCCCCCACTGCTACAGATGCCAATTTCGGCAGCTCCTTCTCCTTCTTCTCCCTCATCAACCCCTTGATAAACGAAATCGGCCTCCCCGCAGCGGCTTTCGCCACTCCCGCGACCGCTTGCGCAGGTCTGGGGAGAGCCGAGTGCACGGGGGAGGAGACGCTCTGAGAGGCGAAGGCGGAGGGGGATGGGGAGACGGAGCGCTTGCTAGGGGTGGGTGGAGTGGGGCTGTCGGTGTAGCGGGAGGAGGGGGAGGAGGAGAGGGAGGGCGCAGTGCCGAGCTCGATGACGTGGCGCACGAGGCACTTCACGTGGCCCGACTTGGGGCGGGCAGGGGTCAGTGGCAGGATGTCCCACGATCCCACTGGTTGGAGGAAAGGAGAGAACAAAGGGAGGGAAGAGGGGGTATGGAAGGAGTAGATTAAGGAGGGGAGGGTGAACGGGAACGGGGGAGGACACGCTCTGAGAGGCAAAGGCGGAGGGGGAGGGGGAAACGGAGCGCTTGCTGGGGGTGAGAGGAGCGGGGTGTGTTTTGAGTCGACTCAAAACACACCCGGAGGGGGAGGGGGAGACGGAGCGCTTGCTGGGGGTGGGAGGAGCGGGGCTGTCGGAGTGGCGGGAGGGGGAGGAGGAGAAGGAGGGCGCGGTGCCGATCTCGATGACATGGCGCACGAGGCACTTCACATGGCCGGACTTCGGGCGGGCAGGGGTGAGGGGGAGGATGTCCCATGACCCCACTGGTTGAAAGAAAGGAAGGGAAAGGGAGGGAGGGGGAGGAGGGATGGGGTGGGTGAGGATGAGCGGCTTGGGACGCACGAGGCACTGCACGTGGTCGGTCTTGGGGCGAGCAGGGGTGAGCGGGAGGATGTCCCACGATCCCACTGGTTGAAAGGACAGAGGGGATGGGGAGCTAAGGGGACGGAAAGGGAAGGAGGGGGAGGGAAGGGGGGGGATGGGGTGAGCGGGAAGATGTCCCATGACCCCACTGGTTGAGAGGGGCGGAGGGAGGGGGGGAGGGGAGGAAGGGGAGAGGGGCGAGGGGACAGGAGGAGCTTTTTTTGTGTGTGTGTGTGTGTGTGTTTTTTTTTTTGCTTATATGAATTATACACCGAGACATAAGTGTACAACGCATAAACAGTCGTAACTGTGCATGAGAGACGGGCAGGCCCGCCTCAGAATACACGATCCTCAGACATGGATCCGGGGTCTGCGTGGCTTGCCCCATATGGTTGCGAAGCTGTTGGCCCACCGACAACCTTTGCCATCCACCACGCTGATACGGTTCAGAAGATGCTGCTCTTGTTCCGTCATTTTTTGCCACCTGGCCTGCCGTTGCTTTCCTCGCTGCTGCGTCCTTGCCACCGAGGCACGTACGTAAACGTTCACATGCATGCGAAAGGCCGACTCAATCCGCCGCAGAACCCTCCTTGTGCGGGACAGGAGGAGATGAGTAAAGGAGGGAAAGAGATGCTCTAGAAGTGGGCAGGGGTGAGCGGGAGGATGTCCCATGACCCCACTGGTTGAGAGGGAGGGGAGGAGGGAAAGAGAGGGGTAGGTAGAGGGGGGAGGGATGAGAGATGGGTGATTCAGGATTGCTGAGTGTGAACATATCGGGCATTGTGGCTTAATAAAAGCAAGGGAGCTTCAATGTTTCTCAGGTCAGACATATTTGGAAAGCCACGGTTACATGCAATGCAAGGGCAGTGCTTACATGCGAAATCAAGGCGCGGGCGGCGGGCATTAGGGGGCTTGGAGTCGTGAAGGGTGTTGAAAGTGGTGATGCCTGGGGGGGGGTGGAGGGGGGTTGTGGGGGAGGAGGAGGGGAGGGAGTGGGTCAGAAGCGGGGGAGGTGGAAGGATTGGAGGAGAGGAAGCGGAAAGGGTGGGCATTAGGGGGCTTGGAGTCATGAAGGGTGTTGAAAGTGGTGATGCCTGGGGGGGAGGTTGGAGTGGGGGAGTGGAGGGGGGCAGTGGGAAGGTTAGAGAGGAAGAGAAGGGCGCCTCAAAAGGTGGCGGGCGTTGGGGGGCTTGGAGTCGTGAAGGGTGTTAGAAGTGGTGATGCCTGGGGGGGAGGGGGGTGGAGGGGGAGTAACAGGGGAGGGAAACGTAAAGGGATATGGAAACGTACATTGGAGCAGAGGTGGTGCAGTGTGGTGCAGTGTGGTGATGGTGGTGTGATAATGCCTGGGGGAAAGGGGAGGGAGGAAGGATGGACGGTTTGTTGACACAGTTCTGTCCTCCATATAGAGTAAACTGCGCCACTCACCATAAGACCCGTCGTGGTTGCGCCTCCATGTGCGTGAGGCCAGCACCTCCTTCTCCAACGGCCTCCTGCCCGAGTGAGGTTGCAGGGGAGAGAGGGGCAAAGGGGCAGGAGTTGGAAGATTAGAAAAGGGGTGAAAGGGCAGAGAGGGGGAAGGAACGGAGGCAGATGGGTGAGAGGGCAAGGGGCAGGGCAGTAGGAGGAGGGTCTGATCTGAGTGTGATCACTTGAGATGAGAGTCACGGCACAAGCACAAGAAAGTCACTCACCCATGAGCGTATTGCGTGTTGATGACAATAGCGAATATAATGGATTTGATTGCTTCTATGTACGTGACATTAAAGATGGTATGTCCGTACACAAGCACAAGACTGACTCACCCGTGAGTGTACTGCCTGTTGGTGACTATAGCGAATATGATGTCCGTGTGGCCATCCACGGCCTCCACCACCTCGTTCTCCACTGTGAACGTGTCCCACCTGCCATGCGCATGTGCAGGGAGGGAGAGAGATGCTAATAGATTGGTATATGGCACATGAATACCCATCCACCGCCTCCACCACCTCGTTCTCCACTGTGAACGTGTGCTACCTGGATGAGGGGAAGGGGAGAGGAAGGGGAAGCTACTAGATTAGTATGTGGTACGTGACGGCATGGCAGCATGGCGGCATGGCTGCATGGCAGCATGGCAGCATGGCTGCATGGCAGCATGGCTGCACTTCAAGGTCACTCACTGCATGGAGAGAGGAGCGCTGGTGCTCATGAGGACTTTTGAAGTGCCATACGTATGCATTGTGAGCATGGCTGCAATGCAAGGTCACTCACTGCATAAAGAGTGGAGCACTGGTGCTCATGAGAACTTCAAAGATGCTGTCTGCAGATGCCTCCACCACCCCCTCCGCCTTTTGAGGTGCTTCAAAAGGTGGACTGCAGGTGTACACCTGGCTGAGCATGTGAGTGTGGCTACACTGCATGGTCACTCACTGCATTTTCACTCACTGCATGATCACTCACTGCATGGAGAGAGCAGCGCTGGTGCTCATGAGGACTTCAAAGACGCTGTCTGCGATAGGACTCTTGACTTTTGAGTCACTGTGCAGGTGACCAACAGCATGTGTAACTTGTAAGAATGTGAGCATGGAACTCACTGCATGGAGAGGGGAGCGCTGGTGCTCATGAGGACTTCAAAGATGCTGTCGGCTGATGCCTCCACCACCCCCTCCGCCTTGATCAGCGACTCAAAGCCCTCCTGCTCGCGCATTATCACTCATAGCATAGCAACACAACGCATACACAAACACACGTGCACACCAACACACATATACACACATGCGCACACGTGAGGAACCAGCGGATACAGGGCGGCAGCAGCAGCAGAGACGCGGAGACGGCCGTGTGTGGCTGGCTGTGACCGTGTGGGTGTGTGCTGAAGGTCTGAGTGTCTTAGATCCTTAGGTGTGACTTTAGGCCGAGTTACACACATGAGAAGAAGTGACCACAGCAGCAGCGGATCGTGCTGCCCCTGCAGGAGCAGGAGGGCAGGGGCTGGATCGTGCTGCAGGGCGGCAGCAGCAGAGAAGCAGGGACAGGGGTTGGATGCGCCTGTGTTTGAGGGACCCAAGGAGTGCAGCAGACCCTGTACGTGTACGGGTCTGATTGCATGGTTGGACGTTTCTGCAAGGCCCACTGCTCCTGCATGAGTGTGTGTTGCGTTGACCAAGGTCAACCACACATGATGACCATCCCTGGATAAGCGGATTAGGGTCCTGCCAAGCCATGTCAGCATGTTAATCAGCCTATCATAGTGTGCTCCTTCTCTCCTTGGTCACGCTTTTCCCCTCCTCATTCCCCTCCCTCTTCATTCCCCTCCTCATTCGCCTTCCATCCCATCCCATCCCATCCCATCCCATTCCATCCCATCCCATCCCATCCCATCCCATCCCATCCCATCCCATCCCATCCCATCCCATCCCATCCCATCCCATCCCATCCCATCCCATCCCATCCCATCCCATCCCATCCCATCCCAACCCATCCCATCCCATCCCATCCCATCCCATCCCACCACAATCCATCCCATCCAGCCCATCAAAGCCTCTCTCACCTCAGATGCTTCGTGGAAGAACCGAAGGCCTGAAACAGGAAGCAGGCGGTGGGGTGGAGGCAGGGGAGGGGAGGACCGGAAAAGGGAAACGGGTGGGCGAGCGTGGGTGGAGGGAGGGGAGGGGAAGGGAGGACCGGAAAAGGGTGGGCGAGCGTGGGTGGAAGGGGAGGGGAGGGACGGACCGGAAAAGGCAGCAGAAACGAGCGTCAGAAGGAACCAGAGCTTCGAGTCGAGACAGAGTATCTGAGGATACCTATGACACGGAATGCGCCTTTGGCTTACCGCCACTTTGAAGATTCTCCACTTGGTGGTTTCGATCGCATCCCCTCCCATCTTTTAACCCTTGTCTTCATGAAGCCTCTCAAAATCAACATGTATGCACTGCTTACCGTCCGCCACTTTGAAGATTCTCCACTTGGTGGTCTCAATCGCATCCCCTCCCACGTCCACATCTGCTTGCATCTCTCGAGTAAAGATGTCCCCCAGGCCTGAAGGTGGCAAGCAAGGATAGTGAGCACGTGAAACCACACGTTAGGCTAAGGCCCGGGTGGGCACAGGTTAGGCAACAACACACGTCCACATCCGCCTGCATCTTGCGTGTGAAGATGTCACCCAGGCCTGATGAAGGGGAGGGGGGAGGGAGGAGGGAGGAGGAGAAGAGATGAAAGGGCAAGCAGAGGGTGCCGTGTAAGGGACATGAGAAAGAGGGAGGGGAAAGAGGGGGATGACAAGTATACATTGTGGAATTTGAGTCATGTGCATGAGGCGCAACGTGCATGTGACAGGAAGGAGGGAAGCACATGTAGAGGAAAGGGAGCAAGGGAATGAAACGGGAGCAAGGGGAGCAAGGTGTGGAGAAGAAAGAGTGAAGAGATGGGAGATGGGAAGGAGAGGAGGAACGGAGAAGAGAGGAAAAAAGGGGAGGAGAGGAGAAGGGAGCTGACCTTGACCAATGGATACCAAGCGAGTGAGAGTGCGCTCTCTGCCAGAAATATTAGAAGGTGGGAGGATCAAAGGGGAGGGGAGTGACTCTGAGAGTTCTCAAAAGCGGAAAGTGCGCCGCCAAAGACGAAGGTCAGAGGGAGTGGGGCGAGTGAGAGTGCGCGGACATGATGAGAAGGCATGAGGAATTGAGTGAGGGGTTGTGAAGGAACATGGAAAGGGAAAGAGAGAGACGGGGGGCAATGAGAGGGATGTAAGCAGAGGACGTGGATGGGAAGCGGCGAGTAGTGAAGGGTTTGGAAGAGCCAGGAAGCAATTAGGGCTTTCAAAGGTCTCCCTACTCGCAACCAGCCGAAGAAAGTCATCAGAGGGTGTTTCTAGGTGCTAAGCTCATCAGGTTGGTTATTTAAGCGCATGAGGGTGCTTCTATGTTCGTACGTATGTACCCAACAGATGCTCTCTCTAGGTTGACTTTTGAGTCAACTCAAAAGTCAACCCAGGTTGGTTGTTCATTGCATCGCACATGAGGGTGCTTCTATGTGCACAAGTACTTACCCCACAGATGCTTTCTCTGGCTTGCCCCCAGTCTCCTGAAACAGGGTTAGAGATCAAATGAGGGGCACAGGCGGAGGGGAGAGAGCGGCAGCATGAAGATGAATTGGCATATACCCAAAAGTTGCTCTCTCTGGCTTGCCCCCAGTCTCTTGAAACACGGGTAAAAATCAAATCGGTGACAAGTGGGGGGATAGGGCGGAAAGGAAGAGGGGGGATGGTATGGGGGAGGGATGACGTGGGGAAGGGATGACACAGGGGAGGGATGTGAGGATGCAATGACATGAGAGAGGGATGACGTGAGGATGCAATGACATGGGAGAGGGATGACGTGAGGATGCAATGACATGGGAGAGGGATGACGTGAGGATGCAATGACATGGGAGAGGGATGACGTGAGGATGCAATGACATGGGAGAGGGATGACGTGAGGATGCAGTGACATGGGAGAGGGATGACGTGAGGATGCAATGACATGGGAGAGGGATGACGTGAGGATGCAATGACATGGGAGAGGGATCACGTGAGGATGCAGTGACATGAGAGAGGGATGACGTGAGGATGCAATGACATGGGAGAGGGATGACGTGAGGATGCAATGACATGAGAGAGGGATGGCGTGACGTGAGGATGCAATGACATGGGAGAGGGATGACTTGAGGATGCAATGACATGGGAGAGGGATGACGTGAGGATGCAATGACATGAGAGAGGGATGGCGTGACGTGAGGATGCAATGACATGGGAGAGGGATGACTTGAGGATGCAATGACATGGGAGAGGGATGACGTGAGGATGCAATGACATGGGAGAGGGATGACGTGGGGAAGGGATAAGGTGGGGAAGGGATGACGGCCGGAGGGGGTGAGAGCCACCATGTGGGGGGACAGATTTCTTTATTGACTCTTCAACGGCTGAGATCCAATTCTGAGCTGCTCCTGGTGTGTTGTGAGTTGACTCAGAGTGGAGTGGAGTGGAGTGTGGTGGAGTGGAGTGGAGTGGGGTGGAGTGGAGTGGAGTGGAGTGGAGGAGTGGAGTGTGCACTTACAGATTCCTTGATGGACTCTTCAATGGCTGAGATCCACTTCTGAGCTGCTCCTGCACTTGTGGTTGCCACCTGGTGTGCATAAGGGTACAGTGCAGGGTAGGGATGAGCAAGGTGGCGAACACGTTCGAGGCGAACCGAACAGGTTTTGTTTTTCAGCTTAAATTGTTCGCCGAACACTGTTCAATGTTCGCCCGAACACGTTCGTGTTCGTGGCGCTACTGCAGAACGCCCCGTGGCGAACACGAACGTGTTCGAGGTTCGCCCGAACACGCCTCCACAGGCGAACAGCGAACACCTGTTTTTGCCTAAACTGTTCGCTGAAGCGAACAGTGTTCGGTTCGGCAAAAGAGGGTGTTCGAGAAGGGGCGACCACGAACATGTTTGTGTTCGCCCTTTGCTCATCCCTAGTGCAGGGTGTGTGTAGTCAAACGCTACATTGTCACAAGTGGTACAGTCACATGTGGTACAGTCATGAGGAATCTGCATATTTCGCAGAGAAAGCTGCTGGTAACCGCTCCTGCGCTGGTCTGGTGGTTGCCTGCCACCTGGTGGGTGCGGTGCGAGGGTGAAGTCAAATGACAAGCGCATGTACGTGTGCAAGAGCAGGGAAGTAAAACAGCTTCATTGCGAGGAGAATATGCATGCATTCACATACATGAGTAACAGCTTGCTTCCTGAACACTTCCACACAACCCATGACATCACATCACACACTGCAGAACATCACATACCGGATCGTATACACCAGACACCCCATTACATAAGTCATCACACACTCCATCAGATCACATGCCTTCAGTCGTCTCCACACCACACCTTTCCCATCCTCCCTTCTTTCCAATCTCCCATGCTCCCACCTTCCCAGGCTGCCTGCCGTCCTTCCAAAATCCTTCTCTGTTTTCCTCGTTCCCACGACTTCACACCTTTTCAAGCTTTCTCATCTTTATGAGTCTCCCCACCTTTTCCAAGCCTTCTCACCTTTCCGCCTTGGTCTGGCATGGCCTTGTTGTACACTCGGAACGCGTGGAGAGCCTAAAGCGGGGATAGACAAGCCAGAGTGGCACAGATCAGACGGCCAGGGAGAGATCGAGGGAGTTGAGGTGTTTATTAGAGTTGTGTTAAAATCCACTGGCAGGGATGGATACACAGACGGCATGAAGGAATGTCTGCAACATGGACAGCACAGCAACATAACCCTGCCCATGTGCACCAGTTCATGAACTCTAACGTTCAAATCTCAACCGTCCATCGGAGTCAAACCTTAATCATCAACATCTCGTCTCGTCCGTCCATCAGCGTACACCTTAAACTTCAACATAGCATCTCACCCGTCCATCGGCGTACACCTCGCGTCCGCAGTCCTCTACTGCGAGTTGCGGAGTCAGCACGCCGCTGGACACGGGTTCCTGTTCGGAGGATGGAATGATGTAGGGGAGCGTGTGAATGCGCAGGGACGGGTGGAGTAGAAGGACTTGAAATTTCTCAAAAACCGTCTACTGGGAGTTGTGGGGTCACCACGCCTGTGGAGACGGGCTCGTCCTCTTTTAAATCTGCTGCTCGCTGAAAATATGTGAGAAGGCCTCTGGACACGGGCTCGCGCTGGGACGCAACGCAGGGATCAATACAGAGGAGCGTGTGAATGCGCAAGGACGGGTGGAGTGGAGGGATGTGATGTGAGAATCCCCCAAGGCCATTTACTGGGAGTTGCGGGGTCAGCGGCTGAAGAACCGCCGCGGGGAGGCGTGCGAATTCGGAGGGATGTATGCAAGGAGACATGCGAATGCAGGAGGATCAAAGCGGAGAGGCGTGCGAATGCGGAGGGATGGATGCAAGGAGGCTATGAATGCGGGGGGAGGCAGCGCTATATCATGTACGGATCAATGTAAACTCGATGAAGGGATAGATTTAGGGATTGATGTTGGGAAGGGAGAAAATTACAATGCGGAGGAAACGGGAGGGGGACGCAGGGAAATAATGAATAATGAAGGTCAGAAATAAGATCAGATTTGTCGCTGTATGTCAGGACCACTCGTTGCCCCGGCGCCTCGAAAGGCATCGAATTAGCTGCGGTGTGTGTTCATAGACTTGGTCTCGACGAGCTGGTATCGCGTGCGGACCATTTTCTCTGAATATAGGTGAGAAAATTATCTGACGTATGAGTAATAAATGCGGGAGGGTGGTTAACGAGGACGCGCGGCCAACGTAAGTCATCCTAACGCGAGGAGAGAAAACAACTCGAAAATTTGATAAACATTCTTCCAAACGCGAGTCGTGAGTTCAACGCGACATCGAATGACACGCGAGCTACATTCGATTGGCATGGGTGGTCTTCAAGATAGAAGAGTCCCCTGGGATACCTACGTGAGCACAGCCCGTGGCATGGGTTGAGACGTGTTAAAGAAACGGTATTGCTTGCTCGAGCCACGAGCAAACGAAAAAACAATCTTCGTAGCTTGAGACACGTCAAAAAACTGGTTCAGCAAAAAGGTGGCCTTGGGACTATCAGCGAGCACTAGAAGAGAATATGGGAGAAAAGCACGGCTTCTTAGTAGCAAAGCTACAACGAAATCGCACTTCCCGGAGCATCTGGTTACCTCATGTCAGTTAAAAAAATAATTCACGCGCAATGTCAATGTCCAGCTATATTATCATCCTCGCGCAATGTCGGCAACAGCTACGTTGTCTTATCCTGGCGGTCGTCTTAATTCATGAGTAAGGATAATAGCAAAAACCTTTGCTGAATCGTGCAGCACGGACCTCGTTCTTCACCAGCGTCGGGTCGCGACGGTACATGAGCAGGCTAAAGTTCGCGAGCACCAAGTAACGTGGTAACAAAGCTGGCGCCGCGTCGTCAGGGTCCGGCCTCACGACGAACACCCAGCCAGAGAAAAGCGCCATTGCCGGACAACCTCTCGTATTAGTGCACCTCGAGAGTGACAGTCAATCAGAAAATACTAATTTTGCCTTTTCGCGCGCTTTTGGGCAAGCAGAAGCAGTACGGAACCTGACAGCAGATGCGTTCGATCAGCCTGACAGAGCTCGCGATATCAACTGCGAGGTTGCGTGAGGAGATCGAGGGATGGCGGACGGCAAATGCGGAGATGCTGTATCCGCTTTACTTGTCACTACGCTATTGAAAACGCAAAATTCAGACTTGGATCGGAGGAATCAAGGTGCCCCTCCAACGGAGAAAAGCATCTGACAAGCCTGGCTGATTGGTAAGGCTGAGAGATGGGATGGGAGTATCAATGTTCGAAGCCGCGTACACGGTGATAACAAAATCGAATGGCTGCCAAAAGTTCACTTATCGAGTTACATCCCCTTCGTGACCTCTCTTCATACGGTTCGCCCCTTTCACGGATATGTTCAACAGTGTTCGCATGGATTTCAGCAACGTTCTGTACCGCGTTGCGAGACGCAGTGCATCTCGCAAAATAGGGTTTGAGGGAAGAGGCAGCATGACTTCCACACAACTGTGCGCCGACCTGGGCCCGGTTCAGAGCACCGAGCCTGGGGCCCTGGAGATTGGAGGGCGCTCGGTTGGTGCCCCCAACCAACACCCGAGCCCAGCAGACGACCGCTGCTTTTCTGAACCACCGTTGCGCCGTGGTGAACCCTGGTTCCCGCGATATATCTCAGCGGAAACGGATTGTCAGGCCCGACGACCTCAAAGGTTCATATGAGCAGGAACAGTAAAACACGGGCGAATCCGCGATCGCTTCCGCGTGCTCGCGGAAGCGATCTGCCCCTCGGGCAAGAAAAACAAGAGTCGACGTTAACGTCGGAAGGGTTGCGTAGCTTGCGTTTGCTGTTTTGAAAACCGTTGGATTGAGAAAGCTTGCTTTCTTTCTTATCAATTGGCATCGTTCTCATTACAAATGGCATCGTTCTCATTACAAATGGCGTATTACAACATTTGCATCATCGTTCGACATAAGCTAGTGCGGACTAATAACACTAGCTATTATGTACCCTATCCAAGTGGCATTAGCAAGGCGGTTTACACTGGGGTGGGTGGTGGGAATGTTGAGTGAGCCGTTTGAAAATTGAGAAACGTGGGTGGAGGGAAATGAGCTCCAACCCACGGTTTTTGTAGTTGGAGAAGGGCGTTTAGCGCGCTTCGACGATGCCAATTGTGCAGTACAAGCAGCTTCGCTTTCACAATACACAATTTTAAAAAACACTACATGTGTGTTTAAAAATTATAATATTGAGAAAGCTTGCTTTCTTTCTTATCAATTGGCATCGTTCTCATTACAAATGGGGTCTCTGAGACATGGGCAGCGGGGGCCTCCGGTTGCGTACGAGTGCCTCTGTGTGTTGCGCCGATGACACCGCATGCGTCGAATCTTGTAGGGTACGGGAGGCTTCGATGAGGGGCTCGACGTATGGCGTAACATACATTTCCTTTGCTGTGTCGCTTCGCCATCTGCCCAGCCGTTTGAAGACTCTGTCTGGCACTCCCGTGTTGGCTGCTACTGTGGCTGCACCTTTTCGGAAAGAATGGGTGCCTAGCTGCAACTCTCCAGGGCCAACCTTTGCGAAGGCTTCCTTGCACCAGTTCCGGATCGTAGTGTATGAAGGTGGCCTAGCCTGGCCCTCGCTGGTTGAACCGTGACCGAAGACACGAATCAATGGTCCCTCTGACCGTGGGCCATAGCCAGCGAGTCGGATGAAGCGTCGGGTGCAGCGCACTGGGCAGCAGGGGTCCGCCGTTGCTGCAATGGGTATCCAAGTGCCGTGACCAGCTTGATCGGTCTTGGAGTGTGGTATGAGAATCCACATGACCTCGTCGTCGAATTGGATGTCTTGCCATTTTATGGCTACTAGGTCAGAGTATCGCAGGAATCCGGAGTACATGAGGATGGGTATCAACCCTTTCTGAAATTGCGCAGGATCGTCGGACTGCAAGTAGCTCGCGGCCATTTCCTGGACTTGTTGGATCGAGACGGGTTCCTTCAGACGAGTAGGGCGTGGGCAGTGTCGCTTTGCATAGTCACGGACTTGGGTGGTGAACGGTCCGGTTGTCGGGCATTTGCTCCCGGTCATGCGATGGGCGAAGCTGACCGCCGAGCAGGTTAGCTGCACTACGGACAGGGTGGCTTTGCGTCGGATTGCGTGTACCAGGTATAGCGCGAGGGTCATGTCGGATGCCGGGAGGAATGGGAGGTTCACTTTTGTGCAGAAGGCTCGAAACTTGGCCCAGTATGGTTCATATGTCCGGATCGTAGAATCGGCGCGGGACTGCGCGAGCATGTTGATCAGTTGGTCGTGTAACTTTGGGAGCAAATCTGAACACAAGGTGTATATATTTTGAATTAGTCAAATGCCACTCGCAGTGCAATGATTGGGCTGTGCGGTAGTCCCATGCCCGAAAAAGCAGTTGAATGGGACCCTACGTCTAGGCATTGGCTTCCGTGTGTCAGAGGGATGTGCGCGTGGATGTGTGGTGCCCAAGTGCGTGGGGAGGGTTGCAAGAGTGGCCACCAGCTTGCGCCTGGCCAGTGCGGAACTATCAGTGTGAGTGATGCATGGGTGCGTTGTGCGTGATGGAGGACGGCTGGGACCAGTTGAGGTGGGGGGAAGGCGAAGTTGTTTTCAGGTGTCCACGCGATCGAGAACGCATCAACTGCAATGGCTGCCGGGTGGGGAATCTTTGAACAGAAGCGCGGCAGTTGGGTGTTGCGGGAGTTTGCGAAAAGGTCGATGGAGTGAGGACCCCAACGACGTTCCAAGATCCGGAACCACGGCGTTTTCAGCGCGTAATCGTCGTGGTCGACCATTTTTGAAAGCTCGTCGGCGTGTGTGTTGAGCTCGCGCGGAATCCATTCAATGATCAAGCGCGTGCCAAGCGCCATGCATGTTCGGATGATGCTTTTGCATGCCGTTGTGAGGTCGGGGCTGTGAGAACCGCCTTTGCGAAGGATGAAGAATACGCCCTGGTTGTCCACCCGCACGAGAACGTGTTTTTGCTTGATCTTGTTCGCGTACGTTTGTAGCGCCCAAAGGACGCCTTCGATCTCCCGTCGCGTGCTGGACGTTCCTCGTAGCGGCTCTGACATGGTTGCGCTAGCTTCTTCGATGCCACCCGGAAATGTGGTCAGAGTGGCGCCCCAACCATGAGAGCTGGCATCCACGTGGATTACCGCGTCGTAGCTGTTCTTGACGTGAAAAGGTGCGCCGTTGAAACGGTCGAACTCCTCGAGCCAAAATTGGAGCTCTTCTGCTGCAGATGGGGGGATAACGACGCTGCTTTTCCATGACGGTGCGTCGTCGATCACTTGTAACATAGCATGGCTGAATGCGCGAGCTGTCGCGCCAAGTGCGACACCCATCGATGCGAGCATGCCAGTGATTCTGGCCACGTGGCGGACCGGGACTGGTCGGCATGCCTTGCTTGCGCTCA